TTCTGCTGATCCCAATCCTATTGTTGCAGCTCTTCCACAGTGCTGCAAGTCAAAGGATGCCTCCAAGGCAGGGAAGGCAGACATTAGTTGAATGCAAAAGACCTTTACCAGACAGTTAGGTTGAGTACTCAGGGGAAGAACCGTCTTCTCTAGCACATGTTGCACAACAGCAAGGCCCTAAAGGTAGCCTCAGGCACATGACTAGAGCAAGTCACTGCATCAGTAAATCACTGCTGGGTGAACTTGGTAAGTTAGCGTCCAGAGCCGGTTAGATAGAGTTGAAGACCTGCCTCATGTAAGCAGGGATTTGAACAGGTTCTCAGCCTAGTTACAACTTCTGTCTCATTTAGATCGCCCTGCTGCAGTCTGCAGTTTTTGTGGACAGTTGTCATAAGAGCCAACTACGCATCTAGCCCTGCCTGCCTACAACCCACACTCCCTGGATTCCTGGCAACTGCAGATGCCCTCTGCTTCCTAAGAGGGAAGGACTTCTACACAAACCCTCAGCTTCAACCCTGATAGCATAGCTCTAGCAGCCCCTCAGCTTTTATTTAACTCCAGCCAGTGCCAGCTGCCCCCTTTAAGGCAAGTAGTAGTAGACTGCAGCAACTTTGAGTGGTCCTACAGGTGACCTGCTAACGAGCAAGGAGACGCCTCCAGCCAATGCAAGGCAGTTGTTTGGATCCAGGGCCTCTTTGTAGCAGTCTCTGCTGCAAGGCAGCCTGTCACCCTCCTCACACCCTTCCTCAGGGAAGAAGCAGCAGCATCCAACAGCCTTCAGGATGCTTTACAGCCTCTCTCGCCTGAGCCGGGCAGCAACAGTCCTCTAAGCTCATCCTAGAGTCACCTTTTTCAGGACACACTGGAGAGAGAGTCTCCATAGGAGGCCAGAGTCCTGAACTTCTGACAGCTGGAAAGAAAGGGTTCAGGGCATGCAAGGTGAAAAGCTGCGCTATTGGGAAAAGGCACTAGCTCAAAAGTATCATAGCCAGGCAGCTGGCTTCCTTGAGCCTGATATATTCATCAGGTGCTAAAACTATTCTAGAGATACTTCCAGGCTGATTAAGAGACTGCAGTCCACCCTTCTCACAAGGCCAGGTCTCCACCTTGGAATCACTGCCTTTGACAGAAATATGCCTTCCCAGAGGAAGAAAGGACAGCTCCCAGGTGCACACTTAGTTGCAGCCTACTCTCACGCCAAGATGAGGCTGTGGATGGCACTTTACTACCTGCTGGAGAAGAGAGCTGGGTATGTTCAGACCCCCACCCATACTTCAGCCTTGGAGGCAGGCCCTGCAGCAGCTTCTCCTCCCATTCTGAAGTGTTTATCTCAAGCAGTACAGGTCAGCACCGTCTCTGGCGCAAGCAAGCCAGTCAGCCAAACCAAAGCTGGACTGCTGCTGGATCCACTTTGCAGAGAATTGTGTTAGACATCTGTCAGATCTATCAGTGCCCTGCAGACCTTACTGTGCTTAGCAGCAATAAGTTGCAGAAACTGCATCTCTTTCTCCTTAAAGGAGCCACTCCACCAGCCAAGCCTTAAGTTAAGCTTCTAAACCCAAAGAAAAGCATAATCAGCTCCTAAGTCTCCTGTTGCATCAAAGCTGCAGATAGCACTCTCCTTTAACATACACAAGCCACAGAGCTGTGCCACTTCATTTCTATACAAGCAGCATGCACCATCTACAGGGAAAAGTCAGAGCCAGCATCTCCATGTTGCAAGGCATATTGGAACAAGAGCATCTCAGCTCCCACCAGGCCAGTGTGGCTCTGCCTAAGCACATACAGATCCAGTTGAGAACCCAGCTGATAGCTGCACAGTTCCAGTATAGTTCAAGGCATTGACCTACCTTAGACTCGAGGTAGACATTTGCTGAAGACATTTTTCCCAGTTTGCACATGCAGCAAGCCAATGAGACGGCACAGAGGATGAAGAGGCTATCATTGACTAGGGCACGGGCAAGGACTGTCCATCTCAGCTGGTTCTCTGGGACTTCACTATGGATTAGCATTGCACAAGTTAAGTTCACAACTAGGAAGAGGAGGCTGGTAAATACGGAGCCCAGATACAATAGGACCCTGCAGAAGAGGTAGGTGAGAAACATGGAGTTCACATCAGTTTACGCAGACAACTCTGGAGTCATTCTCCACCACCCTCCCATCTCATCAGGCAGGATGACCTCCCAGCAGGCCCAGAGCTGTCCTTGCTATGAAGATCAGGTATTCTGGCAAGTTTGTGATTGTGCTGGCAGCCTAAGCCTGCTGTGTATTTCTATTTAAGCCGCTCTCATCTAGCATGAGCTGTGTTAAGTAGTCATGAGTTACAGGACTCATCTTCTGACAGTCAGGTTCTTATCTTGCAAATTTTAAGTGTTGCTCCAGCTCTGCATTAACTTCAGTCAATAAGCTATGAGTCATCACACCACTGCAACTTCTTTACTGAAAGCCACTGGAGCTTACATTTTCCATTATGGGTTTCCCTGGAAATGGCTAGGGAACACTTGGGCCGCACAAACACAAATCCCACCTATTGCTCAAACCTCATCCTGCAGATTTTTCATGGAGGTGGGACAGCTCAGAAGGACCTTGAGAATTCGTCTAATCCATTATCAACATCTGTACATGTCATGAACAATCTAGTACTGAGACATGCGTTAATTTCCTTTGTATCCTTGACCCACTTCCCCAGCTCCCAATCCTGCCCCAAGGCATGGCACTGATCCTTTGTCAGAGTACAGCTAGCCATGACATAAGCTGCATTCAGTCTTTGGGGTCTGGAACTCCCATTCCTAATGCTAGAGCACTAATCCACCTTAAAAGGCCTTTGAAGGTAAGGTTAGAAGAGCGTCACTTACTTGTACTTGTTGAATTCAGCTGCACATTTCACTTTGAATATGACCTAGGGGAAAAGTTTGCATGGCATTACTTAAAGTGACCTACAATTCTCCTTTAAGCTTAGGGAAGATATATATACACACACAACAGCAGAGCCAGCATCTCGCTGGGCAACTCGAAGGACTACAGATTATCTATTAGCGCTAAATCTTACACTTTATCAACTTGCAAGAAAGACTGGTATCTTTTCCTAGAAGAGCTGTATTTGAATGTAGGCATCCAATAGGAAAGAACATATGTATTATCCCTCTTGTAACAAGGCTTTTAATACCACCACACCTAAGGACTTCAAGGAAAGAGCCAAATTCAGCACTCAGGACTCACTAACAGCACTCAAAACTACATTTACTTCGCCAAGTGTTCTTCGTACTGCATATTTTAAGACCTCAGTCAAGCTGAATTTCTCTTTTAGGGGAGACCGTTTGAGTTGCTATACTCCAGTGAGACAAACAGCTGATCTAAAATAGCCCTCTAGTATTGAATTATGGACCTGCAGTTCACCATAAGCCTTACTAAAAGCTGTGGACAATAACAAGCATTTGGACTTCTTGGTTCTTCTGTGCTTTAGACGTCTGCAGACCAAATACTCCTGAAAAGTGACTCCAAGATGACAGGAAGCCCTCCAGAGGCCAAAGGCCCAGCCTTTCGAGTTGGGTGGCACACTTGGCAGACTAGCACACTAGCTGACAGTCATTCACAGACTATTTCACCCTTCAAAGCAACATCTGCTTTGTCAAACAGTGGATCTGGGTCCTGTGAACCTCCTCGCCACACAAGGTATTAGGAGACTCCAGCTGAACAGTTGTATAAGAAGGATGGGTGCTTCAAAGCAAAGGCTCACAAGCCTCTCCTCAGACTGTTGTAGTAGTAGACAGGCCTCTGTTTCTTTGGGCTGGAGGGTGGCTCGTGCTAAAGCATAAAGGGGCTAGACTCTTAGTACGAGGAAACGTGTCTACCCCTTCCTAACCTAGCCACGCTCCCAAATTATAGCTCATACAGGAGGAGCACAGAGATCCTGCTGAAGGGGGAACAGGCAACTGGCATTCACACAGAGGTCAGCACAAGCAGGGTAGATGCTAACAGCAGGCAAGCAGCATGCTAGCAGAGCTTCATGGAGTTCACTTCTTGTCACACACTGACTCAGCACAGTCATGGCAGGAACTGTTTCTTGTCCCGTGAAACATGCACATCTTGGTACAAGCCTTATCAGGAAGGGATCCAGAGCAGGGGGTCACATTCAGTCTTGGACAAAACTCATGTCCTGTGTCTGGAGACTTTGAAGGAACTTGGGAAGAGGCAGAGACAGCCAGCTAGCCAGATCCAACAGACATGCAGTAATCAGAGAGTGGCAAGTGCATAAGTGCAGAGGTTTGGTTTCACAACTCCTTCAAGAGGTCATCCTTGTCAGCTTCTAGACTGTGGCTCCAATGAAGGTTCACTCATCTCTTCAAGGCACTCTTAGTCAGCTTTTTTTCCCTCTGACAGGATCTCTTGGCTCCTGCCTTCCAGTCAGCACTGAGGTAGCACTCACACTCCAAGGCTTCAGAAGTCAGGCTCCTGCCTGCCAGCAGGATTGCCAAAGGTACTTCAGGATTCGAAGGATTGTCTGATCCATTACAGAAGTTTAAAGTACTTGAAAGCCCTCAGAGCAGGCATCAGACCTCAGACAGCTTCAGCAACCCCTGTTCCTACAGCTAGTTCTTACTGTCTGGCTCTTCTTCCTCAGTCTGAGGGAAGAACTGAAAGAGCACTTAAGAGCAGGGAGCAAGACATGGTACCTAGGCAGAGGGAGGCATCTAGTTCCCCATGCTTGAGAAGCAGTCTCACAAGCCCTTTAACCTGTTATCTTGGCCTATGCTAGCCAGGAGTAGTACGGGGCAAAGAAGTGGCATAACCCACACTGAGCCCCAAAGCTCATCTGAGTTAGCTAACACCTGGGCCCAGGCAGGGGAGCCTGGTAACACTCCAGAGTATGATTTGTCCTCCTCCTTCCCCTCTCTCCCCCCCATCTGCCTGTAGGCTACATTCAAGTTTCAAGCGCTTCGGGAGCGTCAAAGCAGACACCACAGCCAGCCAGCTAGGAAACCTCTTGGTTCAGCACCCCGTTTATGCAACATGGAAATCCATTTGAGATGTTTGTGCTGCTGCTGACTCCCAGAAGAGCAATCCAGTTGGTACAACTGCAGCCTCCCACGCACAGTGCAAGCTGAAAGTCTGTGGCATGTTCTGTACCAACTAATAGCCCTGAGCAAGAACAATCCCCTCAGCAGAGCAGGGCAAGGCCACTGGCTAACAGAAGCCACTGGCTTCAGCAGCTGCAGTAGTCCCATGCAAGACTAACTGCCAAGACCCTCCCCCTATGGCTGCAAGCTCTGGGTGCTACGGTACATAAAGCTGTCTCAGAGTTAGAGGGTAACAGTGATCAAAGATTTACATTCAGAGTGTTGCTATGAAAAGCAGAGGGAGACCATGGCACCAGCCGTGGGCTTTTACTAGTCCCCAGATATTTAGTCCTGTAACTTCAGGAAGAGAGTGGGCTGTACTACTCATTTTTGTCTTGGTTACAAGCACATAACTCACAGAAGGTCAGTTTTTTCTTCAGAGGCTGGGTCAGTAGGTGACACAGATAACGTTGACATTGTCTCAAGAGTAAGAACTCAAAGGTACAATATTGCACGGCTTTCAGCACTGGCCTATCTCTTCTGCTTTCAGCGCAAAAAGACAGCTGATGTAGAAGGCCCTGAAGAAGCCAGTGTAGAGAGCTTGGAGTAGTCCTGACCTTTCTAGAAGCAGGAAATCCAGATAGACAAGATGATCTCCAGAGGTCCCATCCAACCTAAACGATTCTGTGATTCTGTGATCTCCTGCCCCAAGCAGGGGCATTACACTAAGTTGCTGGTAGTAAGCCTGGTAAGCTGAGCAGTTGCTTTGATTCAGCTGGGTGGCCAGCCCCAGATGACATGAAGTTGCTTGCTGAAAGAAAAGAGAGGTCTCTGCTAATCCAGAGCAACAGGACTGAACATTTTTACTCCTAAGTAAACCTTTTAGGACAGTTAAGCAACACAGCAACTGTCTTTCTGGAGACATGAGTCCTCTGAGCACTTGATATCAGCAGCAGACTTGGAAAGAAACCTAGACTGAGAATAACTACAGACCTGGAAGCTCCCTGTGATGCTGGAAGCTTTTGTTTTGTGACAAAAGTAGACATTTTTACAGAAGCAAATTCTTTGGGGTCAATGATGTGAGCAGAAAATGAACTTGCTAAGGGTATGTTCTCAGAGTATTAGCTAAAAACGCCCATCCTTAGAAGGTGTACTGGGAGGCGTCACTGCTGGCAAGAAAGATGACAAGTTAAAGACCTATATCCCAGAAACAACTCTAAGGATCAGTTTTAGTACCTGCACAAGTCAGGTGCCTTGTTCTCCAGGTAATATTGGACACGCTTGATTTTGGCACAACCATTCATTGTCAAGACCTGGAAGATCCAGGAGAACCAAAAATCCCCCAAAACCCTCTAAGCAGTCTCTCTTCTTTATGCATAGTTAACACCTTTCAGTCTCTGTCTCCCTGGTGGGAGAAGAGTCTTTCGCTCCAAAAAGAAGTTGAGTTCAGCCTCCACAGATACAAGGCAGATAGCCAGGTGCTGCCTGTAGTCTCACTTGATGTGAACACAGCACTCAGCTGCAAGACCATCAAAATGGATTCCTTCTCTTACCACAGAAACTCAGCACAAGGCATCAGGGCTCAGCACAGGCTGTTTTGGGACTATACACCACAAGTCATGTTTCAGCTTTCCCCCACCTCTCAGAGGAAGAGCTAGGAACCATCTGTGAGGAGGATCTCTCATCAACCCCACTAATGCTGGGATCATCCTATGTCATCACAAACACAGGGTGCAACTGGCATGTACCCTCGTTTCCTAGAACAGCTTGTTGCTGGCATGGCCATCTGTTCATCTGGGAACTCCAGGGCCCATGGGACTCTCTGACTACAGAACAGAGCAATGTTAAGTTCAAGGGACCCCTTGCCAGCTGTTCCTCCGAGGACGTGGCACAAGCATGGACATGGCATATATCAGGTGTCCACTAGACAAAGAAGGTGGAAGAGTGCAAGGACTGATGGAGGCTTTTCAAATTCTTCACCTGAAAAGGCAGGAAGCCTGCACCCTTGGAAGCAGGACAGCAAGGACAAACAGCTCCCAGACTGGATGCTGATTCCAGGCCCGTCTGCTCCAGTGCAATTAGAGCAACAAAGGATGAAAGAGGCTGATGTCATCTAATCAGATGGAGCACTTAAAGAAATCCAGACAGGTTAAGGGTTATGGCCACACCAGTCTGACAGAGCAGCCCATCAGAAGGCCTTACTCATCGCCGCACACAGTTGCTCACCCCCAAGTGAGACAAGAATGCAGAATGTTCAAGAAGGCCTTTTAAGAGGGTCGAGATGGAGGTTGTTGCAGCTGGAGTTATAGGTATTGCCTTCCTGGCAAGGATCTAGAGAAGCAGGAACAGGAAGACGCTTAGGAAAAGTAGAGAGGAAGAAGTGCTTCCTACCAGGAGGCATTACACCTCCTGATGTTCCAGGTAGGAATGAGGCAGTGACCGAAGAAACTGTCTTCACCAAATAATCATCCCACATGCATTTTGTTAGGCCTCCACGTCCCCCCCCAGGAACCTCCTGGGTCAAGAGGGGAAAGGAGGAGGACAGCCTCTCCCCACAGCAAGAGGGAGTAATAAGCAGTTCCACTAGACTGACTGTCATCCCCTGACTAGAACATCATGCAAAATAATGCTAGCGCTCCACAAGCATTTGCTGTTTCCTGAAGCTCTTTCCCCACTCAGCACCATTTCATCCTCAGCTTGTACATAGTCCAAGGATCTCCATAGAATAAGTAAGATTAGCTCAAATGACATCTGCCTAATGGAAGGAAGTGTGGCCTGAGCTATGTTATTTTTCCAATATCTCCACAAAGAGACACAAAGACAACTAGTCAGGTTTTCAGCACACAAGGAACCTATGCTTACACCTGAGGAAATTTAAGACCAAGATGCTGCCTCCAGAGTAGTAAGAGCCTAGTGTCCTTCTAAAGGTTGCAGGCAATTGGCCAATAAGCACTGAGAATCAATGGACCATCCATAGTAGGTTCTTTGGTACAGTCACTGATGTGACTTCACCAATTATCTCTAGCTCCTAGATCATTTTGGTTAGACTGAAAACTGCTGTGGTTCCACAGTAGTTTTTCCTCCAGGCAGTGACAGTTCTTGTTTAATTATGCCCTAAACCCACTTAATACAGCTTCTCCTGTGCTTTAAGAAAGGCACTGAACAGCCAAACCAGACTTATAAGCTAACCATCAACACATGGCACCCTTCTGTCAAGGAAAGGAAAGGCCAGTCCTTTATCAGACTGTTCTTCAAGCAGGGGAGGCCAAACATCACTACTCAGCATTGCTTTTTTTCATTGAAATGGAAGCTAGAAGAGCAAAGACTTTCAGTCCATCTAGCTGCACTCTTCCTAGAAACCGCAGAGGCTCCAGCTCTCCACCAAACACCACAATGAGATCAACTGCAGACAAGTGCAGCTTTCTCACCAAGAAGTGCTGGACACTCATTCTCCTCAGGACAGCCAAATGTTAGGCCCTTCTTTGTAGCTACATAATGCATACCCCTTTCCATAAGTCATTTTAATCCCTTCCCACTCTAGATTCTTCAGGCAGGATTTCCCTTGGCTCAAGATCTTTGAGGAAAAAAAAGAAAGAGGGATATAACTAGCCAGAGAGCCTATTGCAAAACAGATATTGTGGGAGGAAGGGAAGCCTGAAAGCCAGTTTGAATTTACTTTTTATTTCTTTAAAGAAGCCTTTTCCACAGAGCTGCTGTCAAGTCTAGTGACTTAGAGGAACACAAAAATCCAGCCACTTCAATGCAACAGAACTTGGAGTCCCTTGTCTTTCAAGGGATACAAGGGATGTTTGTATCCCTTGTCTTTCAAGGGATACAAACATCTACAAGTTGGAGCAATTGATAGGTCAGGCTTTAAGAGGCAAGACAGGTTATGCACATTATGCAGCATTTCTTATTTTGCTGCCACTTGATAGGCAGCGTATCTAACGCTGACAGCTTTTGGAACAGGCAGTTCACCCCAGCTTCCAGGTGTTTATGTTGGAAGGGGAAGAACCTAAATAGCTGAACAGCCCAATTACTCCAAGTTTCATATCATCATGCGAATGTTGATGTCCTAGGGAAAAATGAAATCATAATTCCTATCAATGACACATCGGAGCGACGGAGCGATTTCGCTGTGTGTTAGCGATTCCTTTGTGAGGCTGGTGAACAGCTGAGAGCTGCAGAGTAAAGAATCTGAACGACAACAACAAAGCTGGAAGGAAAGTGCTGCCTATTTATGAAACAAGTCACCAAACTGGAAGGCAGGCGAGCAAAGGGCTGTTCATGAGAAACTGGAGCAGAAACAAAATATTCAGAGGAAGGGGAGGAGACAGCTAAGGCTTTAATAGATAAAGGAAAACAAGTGAAACGACTAGAGAAAGAAGAATTAAAAAAAAAAATCACAGAACACAAGTGATGAGGAAACCCAGAGAAAGAGGAATACAGATCAGCAACAACAACAAGCAGCTCTGCACTGTCCCAGCAGCGATCTTTGTGTTAGAAAGGGGCCCACCTCTCCGGCCCTAGGCTGTTGTTTGGGGAGGCAAAAGGGGATCTCTGGGTTTTTGTCTGACAACAAGCTGCAGAACAACAAGCCCAGTTCACAGCGGAGAGGAGAGATGGAGAGAAGGAGGGAGCGCAGCAACAATAGCAGAAGAGGCTCTAGCTGGTGACGTAATGGTTGGCATCACGCCAAGCCGGAGCAGCCCCTGCTGCTGCCACCACTTTCTGGTCCTCTTTAGACAAGGAGGAATCAACTTAAAAATAAATAAATAAGCAAGCAAGCAAAGCAGCCCCTCCAGAGGGGCTCCTTGGCACTGCCAGCCCCTCGTGGGGTTGACAAGGGGCAGGGGC